CCGCCAGCTCTAGCTCCGCTAGCAGCTCCAGCACCAGCAGCACCACCAGGCCCAACAGCTCCAGTACCTCCAGGACGAGCACCTCCGGGACCCGTGGCTCCAGCACCCCCAGCAGGAATTGAACCTCCAGTACCGGCAGCACCACCAGCTCCAGCAGCACGGCTCCAGCGCCGAGCAAACCACTCGCGTACCTCTTGTGGAGAGGGTAGCTCCCGCCGGGACAAAGCACACGAAGGACCTCCACGCCCAGCACTGCCAGACTCCACACGAGCAGGCCTTGCTCCCGCAGGCTCCTCACCCCCAGACTCAGCAACTCCAGGCTCAGCACCCCCAGACTCAGGAACTCCAGGCTCAGCACCCCCAGACTCAGCACCCCCAGGCTCCGCACGCTCAAGCTCAGCACCCCCAGACCCGGCACCCGCAGGCTCAGCACTCCTAGCACCACCAGAGTCGACACCTACCTCGACAGGCTCGACTGCGTCTACCTGGGACACACCAGAGGAGGCAGGACCCTGAGGGGGGAGGGGGTCTACCGGGGGGGGACCTGGCGCGAGGAAGAACGGCGGGGGGGGGGGAGGGGGGCAGCGCGGTAGGGAAAGAGACAAAAGTACGGAACCGACTCGTCAAGCGTGACGTCCTGAGAGGACAGAACACGGCGCGAGGTTGGGTGGTAATACTGCCAACCAGGCGCGTCAGGGGGGAAGCCAAGGAAGACGCAGGGAACAGCACGGGAGGACAGCTTGTCCGTAGACAAGTCGCGGACGAAAGCTCGAGATCCCCAGACACGGAACGCAGACGCATCGCCAACCTTCCCCGTCCACCGCAAATTAGGGGAGGTCTTCGGCATGGAGACCCGGAGCTGAAGGTTGATCTGATGCGCCGCGTACTGAACCGCGAACAGCCACAGAAAATGGGGAGCAGCCGCATGGATCATGGACGTACGAACGACGTCCATGACCATGCCAATGCGGCGCTCAGCAATCCCATTTAACTGTGGAGAGGCCAGAAGCATGAACGTCTGGCGGATGCCCTCCGCACGACAGAAGGCTCGCAGGAAAGTCCGAGCCCAAACTCTCTCTGAGCTGGAGACGGGCAGCGCGGATCCAGTCAATCAACACCTCAGTGACCTCACCCTTGCGGCGCAAGGGGAAGACTGAGGTGTAACGCGAGAAGTCATCAACCACCAGCAAGAAGTAACGCTCGTGACCCTGTCCACGGATGCGGGCTGGGCCCCACACGTCCATGTGGAGAGTCGGCAGCGGAGCCTCTGTCGGAGGAAACTCGGAGGAGTGAGGAGCAGCGCGCTGCCGCCCCTCGACGCAGGGAACCCAGGTAGGGGCAGGCCCCGGAGGAAGGGTAGGGAGGGACTGGGGGAGACCACAGACAAGGACACGGGAGGCCATGCCTCGGAGACGAGGCAGGGAGGGGTGACCAAGGCGGTGGTGCCAGAGGAGGGTCTGGTGGGGCAAGAGGCGACAAGAGCAGGGGGCAGACTCAGGACCAGACCGAGACGCTGCAGCAAACAACTGACTCGACGTAGCTACCTGACCAGACGCAGCAATCGGAGGAGACTCGGTAGTCAGTGTGTACAGGCTTGACCCCAGTTGACGGGTAAACGTGGCCAAGTGTCGGCCCGTCCGAGCATACGTGCAGTGGGTCAGTCGCTGACTTGCAGGAGTGAACTGGTCAACCCCTCCATTCTGTAGGTCAGCACCACTCACCAAGTTCGTAGAGAACGAGGGGAGTTAAAGACCTGATAGGGAGCCAGAGGGGGCCGCCGGACAAGGTAGGACAGTAGAGTAGTGGGCAAGTACAGGACCCCCAGAGGGGTCTGCCAGGGAGACTGCAACTGGCCGACTAAGCGACGTGAGTGTGGTGCGGTCTCGAAAGAAGGAGCGAGAAGCACCCGAGTCAAGGGTGAAGGTGTGTAAGACCGCAGCAGGCGCAGTACCAGAGAGAGCAGACTCACCAACATCTGGAGTAGTAGACTCACGAGCACCTAGAGCAGCAGCCTCACCAGCACCTGGAGCAAGAGACGTACCAGCACCTAGAGCAGCAGCCTCATCAGTATCTAGAGCAGCAGACTGGATCCTGGGGTCAGGTGGCCCACACAGGTAACAGGCACCCTCAGCACTAGTAGGCAATGCATACAAGGCAGTGAGGATAGCATCATAGTCAAGAGCATAGATATCTACCCTCTGTGTAAGTAGCTCCACCTAGTCGGGGAGCTCAGCCGCGTCGCCAAACCCTGTACGCCAAGCGTCGCTCAGACGGGCGAAGCAGCGGGACTCTGTGTGAACAAACGTCCCGCAAGGCTGACCAGTCTGAGCACCTGTGCGAATGATGTACGGGCAGCGAGCAGTACCCTGTGACCCTCCACGCTGAGCGTACCACTCACGAAGCTGCTGGGGCGAAAGGACCGCGCGCAGACGACGCTGAAGCTGCACCTTGCCACTACAAGAAGCTCCCGAACTACTCACTCCAGGACGACTCCCACTACGGCCACCTCGACAACCCAAACTAGCGTACCACTCACGAAGCTGCTGGGGCGTGAGGGACTCACGCGGACGTCACTGGAGCTGCATCTGGCCACCGCCAAGAGCAGCAGTAGCAGTAGTAGCAGCGCGGCCACCTCTACAACCCCAACTAGCGTACCACTCACGAAGTGGTTGGGGTGTGAGGGACTCACGCGGACGGCGCTGGAGCTGCACCTGGCCACGCCAGGAGCAGCACTAGCAGTAGAAAGAGCAGTAGCAGTAGGAGCAGCAGTAACAGCAGTACGGGCAGGGTAGTGCTCACTAGTGGTGAGAAGGGCAGGCGTACGACGGTGGCAACGGCGAGGCCGCTACCACAGCAGGGCGAGGGCTCCGCGGCAGCTGCATGGGCGGCTGCTCCAGGGGCGGCTGCTCCAGGGGCCAGGGGCGCCTGCCCTGGGGGCCAGGGGCGGCTGCTCCAGGGGCCAGGGGCGGCAGCAGAGGTCCAGGGGCGGCAGCTCCAGGGGCCAGGGGCGGCTGCTGCAAGGGCGGCTGCTCCAGGGGCCAGGGGTGGCTGCTGTAGGTCGGGCGCGGGTCCGGGCAGGGCGCCGCGGCGGGCAGGGGCGACGCCGCGCGGGTCCCGCAGGGGCGTCACGACGAGCGGGGGCGACGCCCGGGTCCCGTTGGGGCGTCGCGACGCGCAGGAGCCGCGCCTCGCGGGTCCCGCAGGGGCGTCGCGACGAGGCAAGGGCGATGCGCGCGTCCCGCTGAGGCGTTGCGACGAAGCAGGGGCGACACCCAGGTGGCGACGGGGCGGGGCCGCGACTGGCGACGCGGCGGGGCCGCTACGGGCAACGGGGCGGGGCCACGAAGGGGCCGCGAAGGGGTCGCTAAGGGGCCGCGAAGGGGCCGCGAAGGGGCTGCTAAGGGGACGCGAAGGGGCTGTGAAGGGGCCACTAAGGGGCCGGGAAGGGGCCGCGAAGGGGCCGCTAAGGGGCCGCGAAGGGGGGCCGCTAAGGGGCCGCGAAGGGGCCGCTAAGGGGCCGCGAAGGGGCTGCGAAGGGGCCGCAAAGGGGGGCCGCGACGGGCCTCAGGAGAAGGGCAGGCGGCTAAGGGGCCGTGAAAGGGTAGGGCAGGTCAGAGCGCGAAGCGCGCTTCGTGCAGGATAGGAAAAAAAAAATGGTGGGCCCTTAGGAAGAAACGGTCCCACTAGGGAACCCGCTCTATACCATGTGAAGAAAGATGAATGAATGAACTAGGAAAGTGTGTGATACAAATATGAAATCCTAGAATTGGGTACCCCTTAGTGTCTACCCCGCTACAGCCTATATAGGCTAGGTCATGTATGTCTGACAGAGGGGGTCTACTGGGGGGGGACCTGGCGCAAGGAAGAGCAGCCGGGGGGGGGGGGAGGTTGGCAGTGCGGTAGGGGAAGATACGGTAGTAAGGAACTGACTCGTCAAACGTGACGTCCTGAGAGGACAAAACACAGCGCGAGGTGGGGTGGTAAAACTGCCACCCAGGCGCGTCAGGAGGGAAGCCAAGGAAGACGCAAGGAACAGCACGGGAGGACAGCTTGTCCGCAGACAAGTCGCGGACGAAAGCTTGAGATCCCCAGACACGGAACGCAGACGCATCGCCAACCTTCCCCGTCCACCGCAGAGTAGGTGTGGTCTCCGGCATGGAGACCCGAGGCTAGCGGTTGATCTGATGCGCCGCGTACTGAACCGCGAATGGCCATAGAAAATGGGGAGCAGCCGCATGGATCATGGACGTACGAGCGACGTCCATAACTCACGAACTCGCACGAAATCTCACGACGTTTCACAAACGAACGAATAATGATTCTCATCACTTTCACGAGCACTCGTGACTCACAGAATACATGAAAAACACTAACGCACACGAAATCTCGGAACTCACGAACTAGCACAAACACACACGGACATATATGAACTCTCACATACGCAAACCTTCACGGAAACGCACATAACTCATGAACCGTTGAGGCGAAGCACGAATCGTAAACGCTTAGTTGCTTGTCTTTGCAACTCAGACACAACAAAATATTTTCAGATGAAACACCTCACTGTCACTCAAACGGTTGTATTGAAGACAAAGACTTAATTGGAAGGTTTGGATTCTCAATTGACGGATATTTTTACACCATATGCCTTATTGGATCGATATATAAATAGACCAAAAGCTATGGAGGCTATTTGTTTCGCATATTTTTCATTTGAGTACGAGGAAACATATTATAAAGTCTGTATAGGTCCTCATATTTCTGCCAAGAGATGATTTTATCGCAAACGGTAAAGGAGAAAGATCTTTCGATACGTCAACTCATAGTTGATAACGATGATTATCTGTGTGATTTCACTTGGAAAAGATTTTGGTACTTTGGCGAAGTGAAAAATACTATTGTTTGTTCCTTTTCGGCAGAAAGCTTGTGAATGGTGTGAATTCGCCTAAATCTATGCGGCAAACAATGATATTATTTTGACCAAGAGGACTGAATATTCGATGGTTGAAGATACGTGGATACTTGCGCTGGATGACGCCATTGATATGGATGACGACGCCGACGATCTTGGTAACGAAATGTCCCCAAACGAAAATGTTGACATCGGCTTCGATCTTGGGTTTGACAATTCGTCCGACCCACTGATATTTTCCATTTGGTGACTACAAGCGAGAGCGATTATTTGCCGATGGAACGCATATTGAATGTGGAGCAACGGGCAATTGCCGATCACATTGTACGTGGAGTAAGCCGTTCGTTTGAATATGGGCCTTTATCCATATTCGACAGCGGAGGTGCCGGCGTTGGAAAATATGTTTTGATTAAAACTGTTCACGATCGACAAATTCGTATATTCCATTCGCAAATCCATGCAAATTTTAATATGTTTAAAGTATTAAGAATAGCCCCCTCAGGAGTTGCTGCCTTCCTGAATAAAGGTTACAAGATCGATAATGCTTTAAATCAAGGTTGCACATTCCTAGGGGTGGTTTTCGGGGGTATAGTTAGGGTACACCCCTGCCTGCTGATTCGTTAGCGAATTGTCCAAGGTTTGTACAAGCTGGAGCGAGGTCTACAACCAAGACTGGCGAAGCCAACCCATTTCGCGCCTCTGTCCAATCACAGGTGTTTTGATGGCTGGTTAGGCAGAACGAGTACTAAGGGAGGCGGAACTCACTCCAGGAAAGCGCAAACAACCAATCCGGGGGAAAACCATGTGCCTGTCAACATGAACAAGCGCACATACCACCAACTCGCTACTAAGGAAGGCTACTAATAGAGCGACCACCGACTACGACTTAGACCACAGCATCTTGTGCGGTCCCCGACGGTATCAAAAGAGCGCCAACGCTCCAGGGTCTGGCGAGAGCACGGCATACCGACGTGAGTTACAGGCGAGGAAAACGCCACTACATCACCGCCTCGCTGCCACATCGCCGCCTCGCCACCGCATCGCCGCCTCGCTTCCACATCGCCACCTCGCCGCCGCTTCGCTGCCGCATCGCCGCCTTGCATCCACATCGCGGCCTCGCCGCCGCGTCTCCGCCTCACCGGAAACACCGCCGCCTCGCCGCCGCCTCGCTTCCACATCGCCCTCGTGCTGCCACATCTGCACCACGTCGCGAGCGAGCGGCGTCACCGCCTCATCGCCACCATATCGCGATCTCTCTCGGAACACTGCCTCATCACCGCCACATCGACGCCTCCCCCGCACATCGACTCCTCGTCAGCCCCGCCCCCTCAACGGCGTGCCTCCTCCAGTTCGCCGCCTGTCGCATCGCCGAGTCACGCGCCGGCACTTTTATTGCCGTTGAGGCGTTGCATTCATGCTCCTCGAAAATACTCCCCCCTGCCCCCGGCCCACTCCCCCCCCCCCCCCCTCCCAATCACCTCCCCCCGCTACACGTGCTCTGTCAGCTCCCTCTGTACCCTCCCTTCCCTCTGTTTTACTGTTACCATCCCGCGACTTTACCTGCAGCCCAACCCCGAAGGTCCGATTTCCTCCCTTCCCCATATCCCATTGTCATGTCCCCCCTCTTTCTTGTCTTGCTATTCCCCACACCCCCCCACTCCCACTCCCACTATGCAGTCTCCCCGTGATTTGCTCCCCATTACCCTCCTTGCGTTTCCTTTTTCTAGAACACCACCTCCCCATCTTTGCGTGGGTTTAGACACCCACTTTTATCACCCTCTTTGCCGTCGTGGCGCTCTTTGATTACCCTCTTCCACCCCTCCAGCCCCCACCTTCTTTACCGTTTATCCGCCTTGGTTCCCCTCTTTTCCACCCTTGGCTTCGCCACGATTCCCACCCTGTTTCCCCTGTGACCCCTCCTGCTTCCATGCATTTCCCCTCCTTCTCCGAGTTTCGCCGCCTGCTTGCCTTCACAGTCTCCCTGCTCCCTTCCGGTCAAAATACCGCCCACAGTATGCATGCACCTCTGAGTACAGGGTGCAGGCCGCTGTGCTCCACCATTGAGGTGTGTTGACGTGCATCCGTGTGCATGCTTGTGTTACCCCTCTCTCCTCGGTCCCTCCGTCCCTCCCTCATACTTCCCGAGACCCTCTACTTCATGCATTCCTCCCCTCTCTCATCCCTTCCTCCACTCTCTCACCCATCCCTATCCTCTCTCATCCTGTCCCCCACTATCCTCCTCTCTCCCCCCGCCCCCCTCTCCCCCTATGTCCGCACCTCTCCCCCTGTCCTCCTCTCTCCTCTTCCGGCCCTCCCTTGTCCCTGCTCTTCCCCTCATGTCCCCCCTCCTTTCCCTTATTCCCCTCTCCAACCCCGTTCCATTCCCAAGTTACCCCCGTCTCTCCTTCTTCCCCGTTGCTCTCGGTTTCCCCCTTTGCGTTCCTTCATTTCACCCACTACTACCTTCCTTTTCCCCCCATGTTTCCCCACCCCCACTACCCTGTTGCTTGTCCTCTGTTTTGTCTTTGCCTTTGGTCAATCTTCCCTCTTATACCACCTGGTCACTCCCTTGCGTTCCCTCCTTTCCCTGAGTCTAGGGTCCCATCTACCATTCTTCCTTCTCAAAAACCATCCCACCCTCTCGCATCCCCGCTCCCCTCTCTCATCCCTTCCTCTCCTCTCGTGATGGTGCCTCGCCATCGCACATGCCTTCGCGCCTCTCTCATCCCCTCCCCCCATCTCTCATCCTCGCCTCCCCTCGCTCCTCCCCTCCTTCCTTCTCTCATCCCGTCCACCCCTCTCTAATCTTGTCCACCCCGCCTCTTGTCGGGGTGCTCAATGAGACACAGACAATCCCAAGGCCAATGGGCGGGAGGCCATGGAGTTGAGAAGCAGGTGCGTGAGTGCGCGAGAAAACAGGTGGGTAGAAACCTGGTAAGTGGGGAGGAGTGCACGCGAGGAGAGGAGAATTGGGGGGGGGGAACTTGTGTTCTTCTCGTCTCGCGCGGGCATCAATTCCCCTGGTGCGATGACACTCAAATGACTACTTTGCAGAAAGTGGCCTATCTGCCTGTCTTTCACATAAGACACCGCTCTCTACTCCCCCGCTCTATCCCCATTTCGACCTGTTCCTGTACTCCCGTCCCCCTCGTCCCCACCTTTCTCCCCCACCCTTCTGAGGATTTCTCCCCCTTTGTACACCGCCACTGCCCAATTGGCATCTCTTGTCTCACCTGGTCATTCTACCAAAGCCTCTGCAAGTGCTGGTAGTGGCACCACACACACTCTCCTCCCGCACTGCTCGTGTCCCTTTCTCCCCTTGTGCCAAATATCTCTCCCCCCTCTTCCCCTCACCTTATATTGCCTGGCTTTTGCCTTAGGGTGCGTGTCTACCCAAGCCTCAGGAACTACTGATAGTGAAACCACCATCACTGTAGAGGGCATCGGAAGGAGGTAAGTTTCCTACATGTTTTTAGGGACTTCCTACACTACCACAATGCGGGAAACCCTCCCTCCATACCAGAACTCCACCCATCGTTCCTACCTCATATCATCCCTTCCATCCCAGCACTCCGTCCTTCCTCTGCTCTCTCAACCCATCCGACCCACAATCGTCTCTACCTCACCTCTCTCATACCGTCCTCCCCACAACCATCCCTTCCTTCCCAACACTCAACTCTCATTTTCCGTCCGCCCCTCACTCATCCCAAAATCTCCTCTCTCTCCCCCTCCTTGTCAAACATATATTTATATGTTATAGTTTAGGTAGGCTTTAGTGGGGTACTCACTGTGGGGTACAACCCCTTAGGTTTCACTTTTGTACCAAAACTTCTCGATAGTTGAATCATCCCTACCAACCTACTCTAACATGGTATTAAGAGCACTTAGGTCTTAGGACCTAATTTCCTAGTGGGCCCAACGTTACCTCTATTTTGTTTAAGGTTTCCCCTGCCTGTCGAGCGCCCCACCCGTCGCGCCGCCCTGCTGGCCACGCGACGCTCGTTTATTTTTATTTTTTCTTCGTTTTTTCTCGTCACGCCGCCCTAGGGCCCGGCCCCGCCCGTCGCGTCGCCTTAGGGCCTTCGCGCCGCCCACGGGAGCCAGTCGCGCTGCCCTGCTGGCAGCGCGCGACCCCGCCTGGCCCGTCGCGCACCTGTAGGGCCCGCGAGCCGCCCTTCCCTGCCCGCCGCGCCGCTCCTTTTTGGCAGCGCGCGGCTCGGCCCCGCCCTCGCGTACCCCTACAGCCCTCGTGCCGAGATCTGCCCGCTGTTGCGGCCCCGCCCTGCCCCAACGCCCCTGGACCCTCGAGCAGCTGCCCCTGGACCGAGAGCAGCCGCCCTTGGCCCCTAAAGCAGCCGCCCTTGGTGCAGCCGCCCCTAGACCCTCGAGCAGCCGCCTCTGGATCCAGAGCAGCCGCCCCTGGCTCCTACAGCAGTCGCCCCTGGTGCAGCCGCTCTTGGACCCTGAGCAGCCGCCCCTGGCCCCTGCAGCAGCCGCCCCTGGTGCAGCCGCCCCTGGACCCTCGAGCAGCCGCCCTTAGACCGAGAGCAGTCGCCCCTGGCCCCTGAAGCAGCCGCCCCTAGTGCAGCCGCCCCTAGACCCTCGAGCGGCCGCCCCTGGACCCAGAGCAGCCGCCTCTGGCTCCTACATGAGCCGCCCTTGGTGCAGCCGCCCCTGGATCCTGAGCAGCTGCCCCTGGCCCCTGAAGCAGCCGCCCCTGGCCCCTGAAGCAGCCGCCCCTGGTGCAGCCGCCCCTAGACCCTCGAGCAGCCGCCCCTGGATCCTGAGCAGCCGCCCGTGGCTCCTACAGCAGCCGCCCCTGGACCTTGAGCAGCCGCCGCTGGCCCCTGCAGCAGCCGCCCCTGGTGCAGCCGCCCCTGGACCCTTGAGCAGCCGCCCCTGAACCCAGAGCAGCCACCCCTGTACTCCGTGCAGCCGCCCCTGGACCCCTTGCATCCGCCCGCCGAGCGCCGGCCCTGCTCGCCCGGCGAGCGCCTGCTCTTCCCGCCACTGGTGAGCACCTGCCTTGTTAGCCCACTGCGTGCCTGCCTGCCGGCCTGCCTGCCTGCCTGCCGGCCTGCCTGCCTGCCTGTCGGTCTGCCTGCCTGCCCGCGCTGCTACTGCTACTGCTGCCGCTACTTCTGTTACTGCTGCTAGGCTGCTGCTGCTGCTACTGCTGCGATGCAGCTCCAGCGCCGTCCGCGCGAGTCTCTCACGGTACTCAAAGACCCTCTACTCTGAGCTTACCACTCGTGAAGCTGCCGGGACGTAAGTGTCTCTCGCGAACGCCGCTGCAGCTGCGGCTGGCCACTGCCAGACGCTCCCAACGGACCAGCTCGAGGGCTACAGCCACGACGGCTACCGCCAGAACCCCAACTACCGTACCACTCACGAAGCTGCTGCGTCATTCGCACGGGTGTCCGGACTGGTCAGGTTTGCGGGACGCTTAGTCACAAGCAGTATCGCTGCTTCGCTCGTCTGAGCGACACCTGGCGTACCGAGTTTGGCAACGAGGCTGAGCTCCCCGCCTGGTTGGAGCTGCTTGGACAGAGGGTAGATATCTTTGCTCTTGACTATGATGCTATTCTCACTGCCATGTATGCATTGCCTACAAGTGCCGACCGTGCCTATTACCTGTGCGTACCACCTGACCCAGGTATAGAGCCTGCTGCTCTAGGTGCTGGTGAGGCTACTGGTCTAGGTGCTAGTGCGTCTCTTGCTCTACGTGCTGGTGAGGCTGCTGCTCTAGGTACTGGTGAGTCTGCTCTCTCTGGTACTGCGCCTGCTGAGGCCTTGTACACCTACACAAATGACTCCGGTGCCTCTCGCTCCTTCTTTCGCGACAGCACCACCCTCACGCCGCTCAGTCGGCCGGTTCCAGTCTCCCTGGCAGACCCCTCTGAGGGTCCAGTCCGTGCGACCTCCTTCACTGTCCTCCCTTGTCCTGCTGTCCCGTCCGGCACACTGTCGGGTCTTTACCTCCCCTCGTTCTCTACGAACTTGGTGGCGGGTTCTGCGCTCCAGGACGCGGGTGTTCACCAGCTCACCCCTGCCTACGAGCGTGTGACACACTGCACGTGTGCTCAGACGGGTCGTCACCTGGCTACCTTCACCCGGCAGCCGGGGTCGGGCCTGTACACACTGACCACTGAGTCCCCTCAGGTAGCTGCGTCTGCGTCTGCGTCAGGTCAGTTGTCGCCCCCCTGCTCGTGTCGCGCCCTGTCGCACCAGACCCTCATTTGGCACCACTGCCTTGGTCACCCCTTGGTGCAGCGCCTTCGCAGCATGCAACGCCGTGTCCTTGTTTCTGGTCTTCCCACGGTTCTCCCTCCCCTCCCACCCTCGCCTGCTCCTCCCTGTCTTCCATGTGTCGAGGGGCGGCAGCGCGCCGCTCCTCACTCCTCCTCGTTCCCTCCCACAGAGGCTCCCTTGCAGACTCTCCACCAGGACGTGTGGGGCCCAGCCCGCGTCCGTGGACAGGGCCACAAACGGTACTTCCTGCTGGTCATCGACGAGCCCAGTCCAACAGAATGCAAAGGATATGAACGACGAGCACTGATTGCTCTTCGCCGGCGTTTGAATGAGTGGTGGGGAAGTGAATGCATGTCGTGGGGCGCAAGGCAGAGGTGCGGCCGAGTGCACGGCAGATTGGCGCAGTGACCCAAACACTGTAGGTCAAAGAGATGGCACGGGTGGAGAGTGAAGGAAGGATAGAGTGAGCTGGGGGAAATTGGGGTTACAATCGACAGCGTTTTGGAGTGGGCACGGGCAGGGTAAGGACAGAAGGATGGCGGTGGTGTGAGTGAGTAGTGTGACGGAGGACACCCCGCCCATGCAACGCGAAGGACATAAGGAGCGGGGTCTGTGCTACAGTGAGGGGACAAAGAAGGCAAGGGCAGTCTGTGAGCAAAGGACAGATAGTGCAAGGTGACATCTATTTTGTGCCCCAACCCCAGCATCACCCCCCTCAACCGCCGCGCGCTCTGCTGGCCCGCTCAACGCTGCATCATGCCTCCGGCGACTGTCCATCTGCCCTCCGTCACAATCCATGACCCTCCCTCTGCCCCATTTGCTCCACCCCCCTCTACCGTCCGACCCCCTCTTACCCCACCCTCTACTACCCCACGTCGCGTTCGTCAACAATCGTCCGACCCCATTAACGACTCCACAAACATACGAGTCAGTTCCCTACCCCTACGTCATACTTCCATAACAGGGAGAAATGCTTGAGATATAGGGGTCGAGGGGGCCTCCAGAAAATGGCCTCCTGGAACCGAATCTGGTAGGTCCTGCCACTGGGTGACAGCAACGTCGTGAATGAAGGAAAAATGGGGTCCGCGATTTGTGTCCAGAGTGAAGTCGCAGGGTCTCAATACGAGAGCGGTGATTAGAGTGAGGGGACAGTACACACACATCTTCATGCACTAAGTGCCCACACTCTTGATATTCCGCCGCACGCACTGTCTGCGTATTCAGCCGTGCCAACACACACCTGGTCCCACCCCTCGCACGCTCACGGCTTATTCCCCAGCCCCTCCGCACATTAAATCCCCCCGCGCACCCTCACTTACATTCCTTTGTGCCCACTCACGTTACAATCCCCCCGCCCACTCACCTTATATTGCACTGAGCGCACACTCGCGTTACATTATGCACCCCCCTCTCAATGCTTATTCCCTCGCGCCCACTCCCTGCGTATCTCCCTCCTCCCCTCCCCCTCCTCCCCTCCCCGCCTCTCCACTGCACCTTCTATAGGCTTCTAAAGGCTTATTTCCCCAACCTCAACACTGCTTATTCCCCATTGC